TTGATTTGTGTATGAATACAGTAGGGATATGTGCAATAGGGAAAGTGCTGTGCCTGTATGTTTCTTGGTTGTTTCTTTGCCATGTGATCTCTGTTCTGTATCTATGACTGATTGTCCTAAATGTTTTATGTTTATTATCTCAATGCCCAAGACAAATTTCTCCTAAGGGAGACAATAAAGCTCTATCTTATCTATCTAATCTAATAACGTGCTTTAACCACTAGGCGGTGCGGGTTAAAAAACTGTCAAGTTTACAGTGTTAACACAATAAATTATACTTTATGAAGATGTTAGAAATAACACACAGCATACAATGCCATAATAACTTTGTATTATTAGTGCAGGGCACTTATGTATGTATAACATCTGAAGATGTGTAGTTGTATTCATGTTTTCACATAATTTTACAGGATATTGCTATATTATTTCACATATTGTAGTTCTACACATTAATATTTGAGGTATATCCGCCATTTAATGGTAAGCTATTTAAATTCTGATTCCATAGATGTGTCTCCCATCACCCAAAACCCCTGACTATTCTCTCAACTCAGTATTTACATTCTTTAATTCAAAGAAAATCAGTAATATCTTTAAAAACTAAAGTCCCTTTCTATCAGCTGTGCACCGTTCTACCAATTGGATCAAATATAAAAGTCAACCGAATTACTATTGATACTGCAAGGAGACGTATTGTGTGAAGAGAAATTTAAGATGTTGTTTAATTGCTGATATATTTAATATCCATGTTATGTATTCAGTTTTGAAGGCATTTATTCCAGTTTGTCCAAAGGTCTTCTAATCAGGGCTCTATAAATAAAGAACTACGGCAGATGTGTCATTTTTAATGCAGCCGAACCGTGTATTAAAATGCCGTTATGTGATGACTTTCAAAGAGAAAAGCTAGCACACTCGGAATAAAGTATTGTTTTCTTTTTTTTGTTAAATGTTTTTGGATTTCACATCGCATACACACCATATCCCAACATGCATTGCGGCTAAAACATCCAATTACCGAGCTTCAACGATAGTTGCGGATTATGGGTAGTTCGATGTTTTAGCCTCTGAAAAAATAAATGTGTCTCTCAGAATCGAAAGGGAAAAATCTATGGGGAAAACACAAGCAGTGTACACAATTTAAACCAATTAATTTTGTGTAATTAACTAGGATAAACTGATGCGTTTTAGTGGATGAGTACGAGAGATATCACTGTGAAATCATTTGTCAGTGAGGGGAGTATGGTTTTATTATGAAAACTTTGAGACTGGAAATACTGTTTTCACCCTGTGAGGGTTGACGCTAACTTTACATGGACGCAGGTCAATAAAAATGAATAGGGGGAAAGAAGTAGTATATACACGTTCTCCTGGCGACACCTCAAATAATCTTCGTAATATCTATCAAACTATAGATCCTACACATCCACTGGACCTGGGGTCTAAAAGTACAATATACACTTCTCGCTAGAAATCTAATCAAAAAGCATTTTAATGGCCAAACTATNCTACAATCTAGGATTTTCCAGAGAGGGTTATTTGTGAATATACGACCCTTCAGAGCATTTGCAATTGCCGCGAATTGTTGTTTCTTACACGACCACTAGAGGTGCTAAACTTGAAAATGTGTAAAATTAGGATTCAAATGAATAAATTCCTGAAACGTGGGGCCTGCTGACCGCTGTTCTTTACGCTTGGTCTTAAGGGTCACCCGAGTCGACGGGGAAAGCACTTTGGAGTGCATATTCCTGTCTCTCACGTTTTACTTTTCACCTTGTTTCCAACTGTTTCAGGAGAGTGCATTTACGTAGTCACGTTGTGCCTCTTCACTTTTACACTCCATGGTCAGAGTTCATATGGTGGGGGAATGCCATTGGCGGTATGCGCCGGCCCGTGCCTTTTACCTTGGACTTCTAGTAGAACTGCTCGGGTCTTGATAGATTGAGTGGGGAAGTTCATGAGACCTTTCTTGAAAATGTGACTATAAGCTGCTGAACAATCGACCTATTTGGTCGTATGAGTTGGAGGACTTGTTGGTTTACCACAAGGTGAGTTCATTTTTATTTCCTGCTTTTTTACACATACTCTCTCCAGTACAGTGTTAGCTCTGAGTGTTAGTGATGCTTGCTAATGTAAACAAAGACCATATTACGTCCAAAACAGTCGGGCATTGTTTCTGAGAGCAGCGTTTCTGATAGGGCCGCGTGTGTAAAGCCAGCCCACATTTCAGATATTATGTGATATCAGCAGCAGTGGCGGTTCTAGACCAATTTCATTGGGGGGGCCAGGCTGGGGCCAGTTATTTTCAGAAGGGGGCACAATGAATGCGGGACGAAAAAGACAAAGACAGTATGAAGTAATTGCGCATAAGAAAACAATGCAATGAAGTTATTGGTATTTGTTTCATTACACATTATTATATGCTTACCTTTAACCTTTGTGTGCTGTTCGGGTCTGTGGGACCCGTTTTCAGTGTTTACTAAAAGAAAATGTATGCAATTTAATTATTTTAACCGGCTTTATCTGGGGGTGGACCTCACATCCTCTAGGGGGGTCCAGGGGCATGCTCCCCCGGGAAGATTTTGAAGAAAATGTTTAAGTTAAATGCATCAATCTGGTGCACTTTGAGCAAAAAATGAATTTATGGATACAGCTCTCAACACTCAGATGATAGGGAGCTGTATACTTTTCAATAATCCCAAAATCTTTAGAATATGATCACAACCAATAACAAATCATTTAAACTTGTTTATTCTTATATTATGTTACCTAGTTAGCATTCTTTCTTTTTATTTATGCATATTTGACTAATCACTCCCCTTTTAAACTGTTTTTTTTACCGTCCTATAGTATACATTGGGATGATTTCTTACTTTATTGTTTACAACTATATTAAATAGATAAAGGTGTGCTCTCTCTAGCTCTCTTCTCTGTCTCACTCGCTCACAGAGGCTGTGTGCTCCTCCGTGGCGATGACGGCTTGCGTTAAAAAAATAATAATAAACATAGGCCTATTTGTAAAGTGGGGGGACACAAACGGGATTTCACAGTTAAACTCCTTATGAAGTGGTGAGGTGCCGCTCCACATTGCTTTTCTTCCCGACTGCATTGCTGGTGTGTGTGTGTGTTCATTTCATTTCAAACCTTTATTTAACCAGATTGGTCCCATTGAGATCATAGGACTCTTTTTCAAGGGAGACCTGCAGACACTGTGTGTGTTTCTCATGTGTGTGTGAGATTTTTACATAAGTCTGTAAATGATTTTGGTTTCAGTTGTGTGTGTGTGTGTGTGTGTGTGTGTGTGTGTGTGTGTGTGTGTGTGTGTGTGTGTGTGTGTGAGCAGGCTCGGATTGGCCATCGGGCGATTCGCTGCCGTCGGTGGGCTGCTGCGGTACCACATCCGCCGCCGCAAACACCTTACGTTGCGAGGCTCCAGCGGTTCCGACGCAGCGGCAATGTGAAAGTCCACCGCAGTTGCGAGTCTCCGGCTGTAACCGCCCGCGAGGACCCAGGTTTGATTCCGGCCTGAGGTCCAAAAAATGTATTGAAAAAAAAGTTCATCGCGTCCATTCGCGACCCACCTATCACATATCTGCGCCCCACCTATCACATATCTGCGCCCCATCAGTTTGACACACTTTGAGAAACGCTGAACTAAGGTGACCCCTGGCTTTTCCGCTAGTTCCCCATGAATCTAACATTTGTAGTTATTGAATAATTATATATTAAAAAATACCTGAAAATACAAATGATATTCCTATTATCTTTAGTTGACATGTTTACAAAGCAGCTCCTTTATCTGTAGACCAAAATTTGGGTTTTGTTTTAGTTAACACAACATATATAATTATATAGTTTCACAAAGTATGTTTTTAGTGAGGATATATATTACATTTTGAAAGTTTTAAGATACACAGGGGCTCATACATATTTTGTAAAACCCTGATTTGTAGTCCAGCCACATTGATCAGAACACCTTTTTGTTAAGGTTTCTCTGTAATCCTGAAATATTTACCTTGATGCAGCAATGTGTTTATAATGTTGAGAAATAGTCCAGTCTTTTTTTGATTACCCTTTCCACCAGTTTTTTCTGTGTTAGTGGCACTTTGAAGTTTACTGTTGCATATGGATGCTGCTTGTTGATGTTAAATCAAAAGGGGTAAGCTGACTACAGTTACAGACATCGGAAAATGACTTCAAAGTTAATTAATGGAATCATTAAATGTCCTTAATGAGGAAGCCTCTGGGCTTAGTAGAGAGGAGATCTAATGGAAAATTATATTTGGAGATCCAATCAGTGACTTCACCCCCCCCGCCCCTATTGCTCCCTTGTTGTCATGTGTCAATGTGTACACAGGGCACACTTCCATGCAACAGATGCTTCAACTCATAAATGCATGTCTATTCATCTGGTTTCTAAAGCCAAGCGTTTGTACATTCCTGTTTTCTAAATGTTGTTATTTACCAAAATGGGTAGACATTCACTAGTCTGATTTCCACTATTACAGGTAATAAAAAATAGATCTAGGTCTTCAGGACTGTCCATTAACCAAACGGCAGAGAACTAGCAGGGATTCATCAGTTGTTTTGGATTGGTAACGTTCTCCAACAAAGCCAGAGCAGCTGTCATTATGCCAGACCATTATGCTTTTTATAGCAGCTATATCATTAACACATCACATAAACTGATAAACCATCATTAGCAGTGATATCAAAAAGATAATGATGTAATTTACAATTGTAATTGTTTATATTGAAAAAGACTGGAAGGGCATTGCTAGAACTGAAAATTCTTCAAGATCATAAACACAGGAAAGTAAATAAATATCTCCAGTGTAAACAATAAGTAATACAACTGTTAAACAAAACCATGAGGTTGTGTGATTGCAACTATATTTCTGTGGATGTTTTAAAAGTTACTATTTTCTAAGGACAGGGTCTTTTTATGAGATATTTTATTTATATTTATCTTATTTATATATTATATGGACTATGGTCTTACAATATGTAAGATATATTTTTGTATTTAGTTTATTGCTTTGAGAGGCTTTGCCTGCACATTTTAACAAATTATTTTATGGTAATGTCCTATCCGTTCGTTAGGAATTTTGCCCTATTATAATGTAACAAAACACAGCTGTTATTAGCCTAGTTTCGAAAGAGAATAAGTTTTCCTGCCTCCTTACTATCTGCAAACTTGGCTCTTTCTAAAGTATTTTCACAATATTCCTGAAAGCTACTAGGGGCTGTGCTGTGCTGGTTGTATAGTCGAGAGTGTTGTTCTTGCGAAGCAATGAAATCACCCACAAAAAGTCGTATTGGAGAGTGATCTCAGAGCTAAGAGAGCTGGGGTCATATGAATAACCCGAGGCACAGTTACGGGAGCCGCCTATACAATAGATGTTGTTTGTGAGAGAGAGACATTCTTTTGTAAAGCACTGAATGGCGCTTAAGGTTAGTTAACCTGGCAAAGAAAAAAAGGAAGATGTGTTAGCCTGCAACGGTTTTACAATATTGAAGAACAGCGTGGATGTGGGGTGCTGGCGAAGGTCTCTGACCGACTTATTTGTATTTATTGCTTGAGTATTATATATAGGCTTGGTGTGTTTGTGGGTGATGGAGAGGGATAGTTGATCCAGAGAGGGTGATGATGGATGGAGGCCTGGTGGGCGGCAAGCTGTTTGTTGTGTTTAACATTAGGAAGGTCAGAGCTTTGAGGAAGGGGCCTAGGAGCAGATGGAGGGAAGAGATGAGCGTGAGGGGGTGGGCGAGTGACCTCCTCACCCTCGCATCTGTCTCGCCTCCTACTGTCTTCCCGCGACTATTTTTCTTTTACTTAGCCAAATGCAATGCCTCTAAATGTATTTGCACGGCTTAAATGAAGGAAATGCAGGTCTAACCTTTTCTATTACCTGCTTATTAAATATGTCCTGATCTCACTCGTATAAAACTGCCTATGGACGCAGGTAGTGGCTGCTGGAAATCAGACAGCATGAAGAAGCTCCTCTTCTGAAATTCTTACATCTGACCAATAAATCACATTTTATTTGTCAGCACAATATGCACATGTGCTTTAAACGCATCCAAACACAAATTGGACCATGATAAATAACACAGAACACACTTTGTATTGTTAGTGCAATGAAATCCTTTGAGTCAAACGCCAATATTTAATCAAAAAGCAATAATCTGCTCTGTCCAGTCTTTCATCCACTGCCGCAGTGTTTTACACAAGCAAGTTTGGCTTATAGTGAATTGTAGACAAGTTCAAATAAAAAGTCTCTGTATACAGTTGACCTGTTTAGCTTAGATTAGTTGATTGATATATTGATTGGAAATGTACAGTATATTAAGCTCTGCCATTAGTGGATACTAGATAAGTCCACCATAATATCTCTCACTTCAGAGATGCTGTGCTCATTGGATGAATCCTTATGTTTTTGGACCCTAATAACGGCTAATGAACCCTGTGATGCACAGTAGAAGCTCATTTGAAATGTGTCATATAAAGGATTACATTCACATTGGAGAATAAGTAGTTTTCTTCTTTTTATTTGCATACAAAGCTCAACTTGGACCTGAATCAGAGAACATTACCGCTGTCAAGACTGCGTCATCACAGAGCTGTACCATGACCCAAACAAAGCCACGGAAATTGACTCTGTAATCAATTTATCTCCTCTTCCAGATGTAATCATTTTTATTTAAATGGGAATAACTACATTGTTTGGATGTTATATTGTCTGTTGCGCACAGAGAATATCATTCTGGACAGGGACCTGCATTTAGACCCCGAGGTAGCTCTTAGGAGGTGAATACCCATTAGCTATCACATAGTAACATACTGTATAGTGTATGTTTCTCTCTTTGCCATTGAGTGCTGTGATAAAAGTTCAAATTATTTCAACTTTGACCTTGGTTTCCACTGGCTTTCAAAGCGCAACCAATGAGGAACCAGCTGTATGCAACGTAGCCAGAAGCAACAAAGGCAACGAGGTGAGGTTACCATAGAAACCAAACCGCCTGGCTGCTTTCACCTCTACACGGGTCTGTGCCCTTCATCGCGGCGAGGGAAGAGAACATTTCCTATCAAGTGAACACACTTTGAAAGGAAAGACATGATAGTAGAATCAATCTTCTCCACTCTCTACAAGAAAGTATTGAAAAAATCGATCAAGTACGGTGAGTTTCTCCACATGAGTTCTACGACGTGTCTTGATCACAATTTGTGTATGCAACTCAGAAAAAAAGTGAGATGTGAGAGCATTTGTGAATGTGACAATGTATCTTAAACCACTCGAAGGTGCTACCCGAGAATAAATGTGTCGTACGAGTTTTGCCCTCGTGTGTCTGTGGTGTTTATAAATAAAAGCAGTAGCTGTGGCTGCTTCAAAACAGTTGTGATTTTGATGTGAAGTTCATCTCGCCTTTAGCTTTTCTTTGAGAGTAGGAATTCTGCAGCTCTGAATGATGGGTGCGTAGGAGAAACAGGATAGTGAATGTCTCCCGAAGGTGTGCACCAAAACAAAGATCTAGCACTTAGGAATTTTGTAGTGAAGCCATCGTGCAGGAATCTACTATTTATCTCAAGTGTTCCACCCACTCAGAAGCCTTGAGCTACACATGTTGTGGTCAGTCCAGTTTCTCCCTCAGTATGAGTGTCCTTCCATGATTTCAAAATACATTTCTCTCCTTCGTACTGTGTCCCTCTAGACCCTGGAGAGAGGAAACAGGAAGCATTAAGTTCCAGGGGGGAAACAGTCCTCATATTGTTATGGCCTTGATGAAATCAAACGGGGTGTTTGACCATTGCTTCTGCAACAGCAGGAACGTTGGATGTTGAACACGTGTGTGTGGGTGTGTTTTTAGACATGTTGCTGGGAAGTGCTCTGGTACTTGCCGGCCAATAATTGCGCATAATTGCATCCATTTGTGGAAAAGGCAAAGATGAACATTAGTGAGTTCTGTGACACGTACTCAAAGCGTTCGTCACCTCAAGACTAAAGACAGGCTCTTAAGGCACGTGATGTCAGGTGGCATTTGTTGGTTGCCATAGTGATCTTGGCCCCTGCATGTGTTAAGCTGTGGTTTATACTAAATACATCAACATTCTTTTCATTAAAAAATAAGGTGGGCGATTGACATTGGTTTTCTTGCCAACAGAATTGAGGGGAAAAAAGAGCAATGAATCTGTCCAACTCACAAGTAGTGCTTCTGTAGCCCAAGCCTGATATTGTATAATAAATGTTTCTGTGCCATAGAGCTTCACTGTTGTCTCCTTTTTGTGTTTGAATATATAACAAACACTGTGCTGCTGTAAATAATGGGCGCCAGTGTGTATTAACCTGTAGTTAAAATAGTTCCCTACAATTTCACAATATACTTATTTTTGAGTAACATTACCTCTTAAAAAATAACTAGACTAACTCTTTGAGAGATGGACCAACACATTGTAGGTTTCGGTCTTTTCATAGGATTTGGTATTTGTTGAAAAAGAAAGAGGAAGGCTTCCCAGAAGAGGCTTGAGCGAGTAAATAAAGCGACATCAAGAAAAGAGGTCAACAAGCATCACTCGTAATCTGTGTGTGTGATTGTGTACCACTGTTGATTGTGCTGCTGTGAAATCACATCCCCAAAATGAACTGAGAGAACACAACCCACTCAGGTGTTTCAGTGTTCCGAACTTTTAGATTTATTTGTATTAATCATTACTGTTTTAGAATGAGTTGATTTATGTGGAGCTGATTATCGACGGAACCTTAAAACTACACAAATACATGTGGTGTATATTTACACTCCATATAAATACATCTTTATATGAAATAAATTCATAATTGCTTCTTTTTTTTACCAGCATACCAAAAGTGTTGGCATTCCAATCCTAAATCATTAAATATCGTTTCTCTAAAAGCACAACTTAAATTAGTGTAGACATTTAAATGATAATTGAATGAGGATCTTATCCACACTCAGTTTCTGAGGAACCCTTACATGTAACTGTGGTTTGCCATATAGGAGAACATCAATCACACAAGAACAGCACAAGCAATGGTAATGTGCACCGTGTCGTCATCACATTATCTGCAGTTGGCGCTGACTGACAGGTGATCCTGCTGTGCCGGCGTCATACCAAACTGACGTCTTTTCAGATGATGACGCTTCAGAGGTAAAGACGTCTTTATCGCGTGTCTTTTCTTTGCATTTCGCCCACTCGTTTTCAGTGGGAGGGATTGACACAAAAGGAAAAGACGCTAGTGAGGGAAGTGTGAAGACAAGGGAGGGAATTACCATGTATTCCCAGAGGATTCACCTCACAGGATTTCACACCAAGGATACTCAAGTGTTTGTGGAAAATGTTAAAATAAGTTTGACAGCCTCTCTCCTCCTACACAGGTCTGGACATGTCAATCTGTTCATTATCAATGCCTCGCCGCCTGCTCGTTGACCTCTACCGCTCACTGTAGACTTTTCCTCTCTGCTCTTTTTGTGTCTATCTCTCTTTCTGGGATTGCTAACTGGAGGGTGTGAAGTGTTGCGGCTTCTCAGAACTATTATTTGTCCGGATGCCAAATCATACTTACTGTAAAACAATGCACAATAGGCTGAGCCGGTGCCAATATAACGCCAACGCTCGCCAACTGGACTCATCGCTCTGATTGGAGAGGAGCAGAAGAGGCATCAAATGGTTGGGGGTTGGACAGATGAATAATTTGATAAAGCACATTATGAAAGAACAGCTTGAAAAGTAATTGCAACAAATACAAAAAACCATGTTCAAGGTAAATCAGAAATAGCTGAAAATGAGTGTGTGTTACATTGGTTATGTAAACTATAATAAAATGTGTATTTATTTGTATTCTATGGTGAACCTGTCACAAAGTATTTTGATTGATTTTATTAAGGTTTACTATAAACTTACTTTACTTTCATCAAAGTAAAATACCACAGTATAAAAATACTATTAGAAATGAAAGCTATGCATTTGAAAATCTGCTTGGTTCAACAGACATACAGCATGGGAGGTTAGTGCAGTGGTATCATCTCACAAAATACATTTGAGCGATCCTGAAATGATGAATGATGTAGAATCTTTTTCTTTTTACTATAACTGGATAGTTTGACCTCTTTCAGTCTAGTATTCATAATAAAACCACATGAGGAAATTATTTTAGAACTGATAACTCAAAGTGCTAAACCAGACTTTTAGGGTCTGGTTTTATCTAAAACATGTTTAATTGAATAAGCTTCTTATTTTTTTATGTGACATTTTATTCTGAAAAGAAACTTAATACCATTTATATTATACCTCAAATCTATCGCATAAATATAGTGGATAGTAGCATGAAATGGAAATAATGCAGTACCTCAGTGCGACGTGGTACATGTTCATCCACTTTATTCAGCTCTTTGTAGAAGCACGACTGCATTTACAGCTATAAGTATTTTGAGGCCAGCCATGCACACCTGCATGTAGGTAATTAACTTCTTGACGATCCTCTCTGCGGCGCCCGATTAGACGGCGAATCGTTGGTTAATTGCAGTCTGCATGTCTAAACACAGACTTTCAACAAAAGCCTGAACCTCAGCCCGGCTGCCGGCACTGTGAGAGCAGTGGGTTGAGATGCAGTTGAGTTGCAATGCAACATACAGTATACATTATATAGTGATTTATTTTGAATATCAATCTATTCTCAACGAGAGGCTTACAATAACTATATGTAGTTTAAGGGCTGTGACTTATGATTGTTTTTCAATAGTGAATCATCTGTGGATTACAATTCAATCAATGAGGTGTGTAAAATGTCTTTTAAAAAATGTCCTTTTTCTGGAAACATTAAAAATTGGTAATTCTTCCTTTTTCAGGTGTTGGAAATAATACATCCACATCGGGTTGTATTATACAGGAATGGCACAAGAATATGATCTTACCAGTTAAATACATGCCATGGCTCCACTACTTCAAAATATTAAAACATATGATGGTTGAAACCCTGTTCTTGAGGAAAGATAATGGACTGAACAATAATATAAACGCAACACTTTTGTCTTTTTTTGCGATTCCAAAGAAGGTCTCTAAGGAATGGATTAAATTGTTTAAAAAAACACCTAGAGAAATGCTGATGTGTCCATCATGGAAATGTAATTAAACTAGGATGGAACCAGAAACTAAAAATATAAACGCAACACTTTTTATTTTTGCTCCCATTTTTCATGAGCTGAGACCAAAGTTCAAATCTTTCTATGTAAACAAAAGGCCTATTTCTATCAAATATTGTATATATTATACATCTGTGTTAGTGAGCCGAGATAATCCATCCACCTCACATGGGTGGCATATCAAGATGCTGATTAGACAGCATGATTATTGCACAGCTGTGCCTTAGGCTAGTCACAATAAGAGGCCACTCTAAAAGGTGCAACTTTATCACACAGCACAATGCCACAGATGTCGCAAGTTTTAGGGAGCGTGGAATTGGCATGGTGACTGCAGGAATGTCCAACAAACTGTTGCCCGTGAATTGAATGTTCATTTCTCTACCATTAGCCGTTTCTGAGAATTTGGCAGTACATCCAACCGGCCTCACAACAGCAGACCACGTGTAACCACATCCGGCATCTTCACCTGCAAGATCAACTGAGAGCAGCCACCCAGAAAGCTGATGCAACAATGGGTTTGCATAACCAAAGAACTTCTGTACAAACTGTCAGAAACCTTCTCAGGGAAGCCCAACTGCATGCTCGTTGTCTTCAACACCGCAGTTCGTAACCAACTTGAGTGGGCCAATGCTCACCTTCGATAGCATCTGGTACTTTGGAGAGGCTCTTTAAGGATGATCCCAGTTTGCACTGAACAGGGAAAACATCCTAGTTCTGCATGGCTTGCATACGTCACAGTACATGTCAGCCACTGAGCATGTTTGGGATGCTCTGGGTCGGCGTATAAGACAGTGTGTTCCAGTTCCTGCCAACATCCAGCAACTTCGCACAGCGATTGAAGAGGTTTGGATCAACAATCCACAATCAACAACCTGATCTACTCTATGGGAAGGAGATAAAAGGGCCTTTTTATTGTGAGGCACACCTGTGCAATACTCATGCTGTCTACTCAGCATCTTGATATGCTACATCTGTGAGGTGGATGGATTATCTCGATAGTGCTCACTAAAACAGATTAAGACACATTTGTGAACAATATGTGTTTACATAGAAAAAGTCTTGGAACTTTGATTTCAGCTCATCAAAAATGGGAGCAAAAACAAAAGTGTTGCGTTAATATATTTGTTCAGTGTAGAAATGGTTGCAGCCTAGTTTCATTATATTTCCATGATGTGCCCATCTGCATTTCTTCAGGTATTTTTTAACATTTTACATTATGTATAGTGTTGTGATTTATTTTAGGTTGCACTATATGATCAATGTTTATACTGAATTCTATAAAATAGACATATTTAACAATAACTTTTTATGACATACTTCTCTATGACCTTTTTAATTACATATTATTGATTACTTTGTGTGGTTAAATTACATATTCATTGATTACTTTGTGTGGTTTATGAAAATGGGCAGTCTAAAGTATTAATATATCACTCTTTTCACCCCCCCCCCCCCTCCCTATAAACGGAGTGTGTCTGGATCATGAGGCAGCCGTTGACTCACTGTCTTTGTTCTAGATGGCATCAGTCTGGAGGGGATGGTGGTGCACAGAGCGGAATGCAGACCGGTCGTCAATGACAACTACATGAAGCTGAAGAAGTGAGTTCACTTTAAAATTGTTCAGCTCATGAGTTACAATACTGCCATGCTGCAAAGAACGGGAAATATTTCCTGCTCAAATTCAGCAAATGGATGTTAGACGGTTTCAAACAAAAATACCAACACTATTATTCCAATCACTTGAAATGTCCACTTTCTTTATTGTTACAATGAATGCACAGCAGATGTGACTGGCACCAGATGATGCAGAATATGTCAAACATGTCTTTATTAGTAAGCTCCTGGTATTTAATGAAAACCCCATCACCCCTCTGTGTTGCAGCATTTCTGTTACAGTAAAAGATCAGAATAACTATTGATGGATTGTTTTTATAATCAGCGAAGATTATGAATAAACAAATGTCAGGGCTGCACTTGTTGATTTTTAAATGGTCCCCCCCCCCCCCCCCCCCTCCACTGGACAACACAAAACATGTTTGAGTGTTTTAAATTAATCTTTGTGTGGACCAAATGCTTGAGTCCACTTTGCCTTTTTAAATGCTTTCTGTCTCCTCTTCATCGAAATCCATTATCACAGCGAGTTGCTATAGCAACCGCATCACAGTGGCAGATACACTGCTACAATACAACCCAAGGCAAAACACACAACACAGTTGGCTTTATTGTGGGAGACCGTTTCTGTCAGCCATCAAATCAGTCCGACACAGTGCAGAAAAAACCCTTCTAGGACAGTTTTAGGACAACTTCCCCACATGTTCCTGACTGTACATAAAGTGGTAATATGGAGCACTCAACACATGCATTTGCACATCGGAATAACATTGTTGTGCTTTAAGACGATTTAAATAATATTCCTTATTCAGAGAGTTGTTTTTCTTCACTGAGTGACATCTGTACTGATATATTGTACTTGGTTAATTTTTTTATGTGGTCAGTTTGGATTGGACCAACAAATGGAGAATGAAGTAGGACTCGGAACTAAAACATAGTAACAGATCGTCTAGGCTCATAACCTTCGCTGTTTCAATGGCCGTCAATTTAAATACAATATGTGTAATGACCAGCTGAGGAACAATGGGTAAATAGAAAGCAGAGCAGCTGCCATAACTGGTTTGTTTAGTTTACCCGCAAGGTGCTGACAGTTGTCTCCGTGCCAACAGCCACATCTGTCAACAGAAATCAAGTGTGTGTGTGTGTGTGTGTGTGTGTGTGTGTGTGTGTGTGTGTGTGTGTGTGTGTAGGCTGCAGCTTCAAGAGTCCACCAAGCCTCAGCGTTTGTCTCAGCAGCTGGAGAAAGCAGTCACCACCATCTTCAAGCCTGTGGCCAACCATGATTTCAATGTGAGAACTAATAACAGGAAGCTGAATTAATTTATATTATCAAGTGAAATGCATTAATGGAGCTTGTTGCAAGGCTGAGCTGCACTTGCAATAAAAATGAATATATAAACTGTCATTCAAAAGCCTCATTCACCGAATGCAAAAAAAATGTTTTCCAATCAACAGCTTTTTATTGTCTTTTAACGATGGAAGTTAAATTATCCAAAACCTGTAAAACATACTGTCTCTGTTATGTGACAGTTTAAATGGCATCTGTAGAATATCTTGAGAAAAAATACCCAAAATTCCTTGATTCAAGCCTTTCAGATACGATTAATCTTTTGGTTTCCTTTTGTGGTGAACTGACTTTTTTCAATTTGTTCTGACTTTTTCAGATTATTAAACTAGAAAAAGATCAACAGATTAATTTATGATGAAAATAATCCTTGTAGTCATTGCCACCTTAAGAAGTTCTCTTGTGGTTCATCTGTGATTGGATACCAATCATTTTAAGCAGAAAGCTTTCTGTACAAGCAGCGCAGGCGTTCAGTTCACTCACCAGGCTGCAGTCGGAGCCTGGCCCCCAGGGATGATAATCCCCAACCAACAGGAGAAACCGGCCCAATCGGTTTTTGCTATTTTTTTTAATCCATTTTTTGTAAATCCGCCAAGAACAGTTTGAATTGTAAACACTGATTCAGTGGTACCACAAAGTAGAAATATGGAACATATCCTTCAACCTTAATCCTGAGTTTAACAGAACTGGGTTATGATCAAATTGTGAATCAAACCAAAATGATCTCATTACCGTTAGAAATACAATTGTCATTTTTATAGGTTTTAGTATCAGTAGTAGTAACACTCCTTTTGGTTCTTAGTTGGAGCACGATAAGAAGAAGAAGACCGAGGGGAAGATGGTGAGGGCCGAGCGACAGGTGGTATTGGACATGTGCTTCTCTGCCTTTGAGAAGCACCAGTACTACAACATCAAGGACTTGGTGGACATCACCAAACAACCTGTGGTGAGCAGCACAAACACACACAGACTACACCTGCCCACTATCCACCTTGCTTTGTTAAATTTGAACAAATCGCCCACGACAAAGCGTTCATGCCTGTTCACACTCTTTTGTGGTTGAGATATGGGCTATCATGGGCGCGCGCACGCGGGATGAATCGATACAGCGCCGTGGATGCGCTCCAGCAGAACAGCGCTGTGTAGGTGCTGATGAGACCTCCAGGCCCTCCTCTCCCTCTGATTGCATCTGATTGCATAACCACCGGCTGAGTAGGAGTCAAACACAGCAATACACTCCAAACCATCGTTTCTCTCCTAAAGGACTTGGCTAACACTCAAATTAACTGAACTAAAGTAACCAAAATGCCCATTATGAAAAGTCTTGAAACACTGGTGAAAATCAGGTGCAGTGGGCACTTCCTGGTCAGCTCAACAGAGACACCCAGTGGCTGCTCTCACACACTGCGCCTGCTCAGGGTGAACTTTACATGGTGCTGTCCCTTCAGAAATGAAAGTGGATTGAAGTCAGAGACTGAAGTGGGGGGGGGGTTCAGGCAGAGTTGCAGTGAAACCACCATGTATTATAAAAGAAGGTGAATCTCATTAAGTCACATCCAGTACATGCATGTATGAGCATCAGAAAATACTAAGTACCAAGACTCAAATTATTAATTTCTATATTTACTGATGCAATAACATGTGAACAGCACTCTTAACTATATAGCCAGTAAAGGTGGAGCTATTATTATATACTTTAAGTACTACAGTAAACCTGAATCTGTAACAATGTAACATAATTTGCAGAGCATAGGTGGAAAGTACTGTACTTTAGTACCATTTTAAGTACTTTTAACGCTATTGCTATACTACATTTATAAAGGGAAATCATTACATTTTACTCAACTACATTAATGTGATACTTACGCTTTAATCACTTTTCAGATTTGAAAAACAGTTTAAGGTACAAAGTAAACCTAAGTTTACCTTTATCTAGGTATAATTCTACTTCTAACAAAAAGTTGTAAACATCAATAACGTGTGTGTATCAAATCTGTCTGCAACAGAAGTAAGATTTTGAATGCAGGACTTCTACTTAATTTTTAGAATTATGTGAAATCTGAGTACTTCTTCCATCACTACAATATGTATCGTTCAAATGTAAATATTCAACGGTAAAAGTACCTTCAAATCATTAGCATTTTTCCTATAAGGCCAATATCATATTTTCCCTAAACTATTATTGTGGCCCTAAGAATTTAGGAAAATCCATGTGATCGCAAAAGAGAAAAAAAATGTTATCAGTCAAACGAGTCTTTGACTTCATCGTGTAGTTTGTCTCTTTCTTGGCGAGTAATCGTTCGTAATGCTTCAAGAGGTCCTGACTTATTTTTGCAAAAGTATATATGTGCAACATGATATGACATTTATCTTTAAGGTACTTTGTGTAGAATCGTAGTCTGTTCTGTTATATGCAATCAAATGTCATATAGGACGGACATGAAGCAGTTGGTTTATCACAATCTGTTCAACCTGTTTCTCTAGACCTACCTGAAAGAAATCATGAGGGAAATCGGGACGTACAACAGCAAGGGGGCTCACAAAAGCACCTGGGAGCTGAAGCCCGAGTACAGGCACTACCAGTCTGCTGAGGAGGAGGAGGAGATGCACACGGCCTGAAGCAGGGCACAGCTTTCAGGTGTTGGTGACCCCCTGAACACAGACATGCTGATTTTGAGTTATTAGCAGCTTCCACAGCACTTGAACATTAAGGTGGAAAATAAAATAAACCACATGAACCGCTGTACGCTTCCGTTTTCTGGTTGGTCAAAATGAAGTCAGATATTCAAGCTGAAAAGCGAATGTTGCTTTCCTCAAACAGTGGAGGGATATTATACATTAACTCAGTTCTTTTGTCCTACTTTTTTATTTGACAGTTTATACTTAATTTTTACACTAACTGGCTACTTGACACATGACGTTAGTATGCGGTACTTTCCACCTTACCCAAAATGTATATACTAATATAAAATTCAGATTTTATTAGAGATTAAGGTAAAGCGGTGAAAATATTCTAAATAATGGTGCCACCAACTGGTGTCATTTTTATGGGTTAGGAAAAACCCAACAAACTTGATCTGATGGCCACAGGATTAAAAAGTAAAATGCAATACAATAGGCAGCACAACAGTTGGCACTTGTGTCAAAGGTCCCATGTCATGCTTTTCTGGCTATTACCCGCCCCCTTGTGTGTTATGTAAGCGGTCTGCAGTCACAAACCCTAACACAGAAAAGACCTGTCTATGCTGCCCCAGAACGCCTCATTGGGGATTTTTCTTTTTCCGTTGTTTACTTCTTGGGTATAGTGACGTTACGTTTGGACCAATCCGGACTCACTGTTGTAGGTCGGCGAGACGAGACACCGGAACTCTGCCTGGGCACACTCAACTCCCAGGCTGCGGTTGTGTGTTTCGCAGATGGCCACTGGGCTCACGGGGG